TCCAGTTTCCGCCACAATATAAAAAGATGTTTCTAGAAAGAGTGCAGAGAAGAGCAACAAAGATTATTAGGGGACTGGAGACTAAAACTAAGAATGGTTGCAGGAATTGGGAATGTCTAATCTAGTGAAAAGAAGGACTAGGGGTGGCAGGATAGCAGTGTCCCAATCTCTGAGTGGCTGCCACAAAGAAGAGGGGTCAACCTATTCTCCAAAGCACCTGAGAGCAGGACAAGAAGCAAAGGCTGGAAACTAATCAAGAGAGAAGCAACCTAGAATTAAGGAGAAATTTCCTTATCAACCAACCTGTGGAATCAATGCTCCATCCTGGAGGCTTTTAAGAAGAAATTAAACAGCCCCTTGTCTGAAACATTATAGGGTCTCCTGTTTGAGTAGGAGGTTGGATTAGAAGACCTCTAAAGTCATTTCCAACTCTGTTATTCTGTTACTTTTGCCCATCAGATTATCTCCAGAACAGCTACTAAAAACGTATCCTTGCTACATAAAGATACAGGGTCATCATAGAATCAGACAATAGTTCCAAATTGCAAAACTTCTTTTCTTGATGAGCTCAAGGCAGCATACATATAGCGCTTTCTCCTTCAGTATTGTTCACAATCCTGTGATAAAGGTTAGGCTTAAAGAAACTTTTAAGCACAATTTCCTAACAGTCAGAACAATTAACAGTGGAAACGGCTTAGCTCGCCTTCAAAAGCTGTGGGTGCTCCTACACTGGATGCTTTTAAGAAGAGACTGGACAGCCATTTGTCTGAAATGGTATAGGGCCGTCATCGTGAACCTATGGCATGCGTGCCAGCCATATCGGTGGGCACATGAGCTCAGCTCTGGTGCGGATGTGCATGCCGGCCAGCTGATTTTCGGGCCTTCTGGGCCCACCAGAAGTAGGGAAACAGGCTGTTTCCTGCCTCTGGAGGGCCTCAGGAGGTGGTGAGGAAGGCCCATTTTTTGCTCTCCCCAGTTTCCAGAGCCTTTCTAGGAGTCTGGGAAGAGCTAAAATGGCCTTCCCCACACCCCCGGAGGCCCTCCAGAGGCTGGAAACGGCCTGTTTGCCAACTTCCAGGGGCTCCGGAAGGCCCATTTTTTGCTCTCCCCAGCCTCCAGAGCCTTTCTAGGAGTCTGGGAAGGGCGAAAACGGCCTTCCCCACCCGCCCAGAGGCCTCCCAGAGGCCCATCCAGGGGGTGGGGAAGGCTGTTTTCGCCCTTCCCAGACTCCTAGAAAGACTCTGGAGACTGGGGAGAGCAAAAAATGGGCCTACCGTGCCATCGCGTGCCAGGAGCAGGGGGCAGGGCACATAGAATTATGGGTGTGGGCACACACGCAACACACACACCCCACTCCTGGCACGCGATAGCAAAAAGGTTAGCCATCACTTGTATAGGGTCTCCTGCTTGTGCAAGCAGTTGGACTAGAAGACTTCCAAGATCCCTTCCAATTCTGTTATTCTATTATTTGTGACCTTAAGTCATTCAAGTCATAGAGAGAAACTTAAATGCAAAGATTAACATATTTAAATATTTTCTAAGATAAATTCTAAAAACATTATGGCTTTAGAATAATCTACCATCAATCTCTTAGACTGAAGACTTCTCAGTTATCTTGGATAAAGGTGACCATAGGTTTACCGTCTTAAAGGAAATAATTAAGTTCTCTGCAGCAATTTCTCACTGCAGAAAGACCAACCCCATGGATTGTTGAGATAGTTCCTGAAGTCTGAAGTGCACTTCCACTAAAGCTCTCATTACCACATGGAATGAAAGAGTAGCCATAGTCTCAATTCAGGTCATACTTCAAAAGCCTTTCTCTCTACATATCTCTCCCGTTTTTCTGGGGAGCTTCAAGAGATAAAATGACAGAAGAGATATCTAGATTGGCACTGGTGAAATATGAAGAATGAGCATGGGCAAGAGTCTATATTATGAAATAAGTTGTGACTTTAAGGCAATTTTTCTATTCACACATCCACAAACAGCTGGCCAGCAACCTTGTTTAGCTAAACCTATAGAAGAAATTCAGGGTTGAACTGTGAAGTTCTTGGTGGTCTCTGAGCTTGGTTGTTTTCTTACAGACATTTCATTACCAAACTACCCTTATGGGTTTCATCCCCATAAGACATCCCCTGATAATAAGGCCAATCTGGCTTTTGAGAGTATGCACTAAAATAAGCTCCCCCCCCGAAAATAAGCCCTCCCCGAAAATATTTAAACGCATGAGCAGCCAGTCCCCATCATTTCCTCCACATGCCCCAAAATAATAAGACCTCCCCGAAAATAAGGCCAAGCGCTTATTTCGGGGTTCAAAAAAATATAAGACAGAGTCTTATTTTCAGGGAAACACGGTAGGTAATGAAATGTTTGCAAGAAAATAACCAAGCTCAGAGAGCGTCAAGGACCCCATAGCCTAATCCTGTTTCTCCTAGGGAAGGAAGAACCAAAATATATACCTTGTTTCCCCAAAAATAAGACCCTGCCTTATATTTATTTTGCCACCCAAAAAGGCACTAGGTCTTACTTTTGGGGGGTGGGGAATGTCCACTGACTCACCTCACTTGCATGCATCACCCCCAGCCTTTTTTTCCACTATTAGAGGCCTTCAGGAACTTCTTCGTCCGGCAAGGCCAGCAAGGCTTTCCTGAAGGTCTCTGTAGCCGATAACAAAGCTCCGGATCGATCTGAGGCTCTGTTATCGGCTACAGAGGCCTTCAGGAAAGCCTTGCCGGCAGAAGAAATGGGCCAAAGTGTGAGAAGCCTGGCTGCAACTATCTGAAGGTAAGTAGTAGGACAGTTCCAGCACCCACCCTAGCTTAATTTTTACTTGTGCACCCTGGAGTTGGCAGGGTCTTAATTAGGGCTTATTTTGGGGGGGGTGTAGGGCTTATATTGGGCACACATGTAAAAGCCAAGCTAGGACTTACTTTCTGAGAAGGTCATATTTTCGGGAAAACACAGTACAAGGATGCTGTGAAGCCTACACTAGTCCATCTGTCAAGAAAAAAAAATGTTTGGATTTGCTTGTATGCTACTATATTTTATTTTATTACTGTTTTTTATGCTTCTGCATTTATATGTTGTCCAGAGTTACTCTACAATATGGGCAATCATATAAATCAAATCAATCAATGAATGTATCAATCATATTTATCCATTTGGTGAACGAATGGGACTCTGGATTCTTGTGAGGGTTGTTTCCCCAGACTGGACACACCACAGTGAAGAAGGTATTATAACTATACAAAATATATAATTGTAGTGCACATCTTTCCTATTGCCCTGAATTAACTCCACCCTCCACCCGCCATCGGCTTTGCAAGTCGATGTGGTCACATGAATAAGTCTTGATGGTCATCCTTATAATAAATAAATATTAAAAACTGTAAAATGGCATACAATCTTTGCCTCCCTCCAAAAGTTATTGCAATTGTACAGATTAGGTGCTGCCTCGGCGTGATTGCTCCTTTTCTGGTTGCTATTGAACTTCAGACCAAGGGCTGCTTACCACAGCTTGTGGTCCTGACAGATGACTGATTTTGCTTACCTGTATTAATTGTGCATCACTTCTCACTTCCTAGCCTGTTTGTTGTCTTCCTCTTTTTCTCCTCCACACCCACATTTTTGTAGGCGAAGGGTCTGGATGGGGTGAGGCTGCCTCTGGACATCAGAACTTTCTTTAAAATGTCAGGGTGTAGCTCAATTACCCAGACAGCTAGAACACCAGTATATATGCTTGTGAGTAATGTGTGATTGTGGAACAAATGAGTCCATCTCCTCTCAAATTTCGGGGGCCGTTTGGGAGAAGGGATGAGCTGATTCTATTCTTGGGGAAGTAGTGGTAGAAAGCATTTCTGCCTGGCTGCAGCTGCTTTTCCCAAATGCAGATAGCAACCCTAGCTTCATTACCCACAAAGCTGAAAAGTAAAGAAAATTCCTTTCTCCTTGAATGATTTGTGGCTAAAGTGAGACAGCTACATTCCGGAGCAAGCTTACTTGACTAATATGTCAAAGAGTAGTGTACGTATCAGAAATATCATTAGTTCTGAAGTATCTGAATTCTATGAAACTGCCTAAAACAATACTTTTACAGTCTCTAACAATACCCAGAGACACTTTCAATGCAGTCAGAGAAGAAAAACTAATTTATTATTTGATTATCAGAGTCAGCATAAACAGAAGCATGCTAAACACTTTTAATTAAAATATGGAAAAGGTAAAAAGTAAGTATATCGTTGCCAATTTATTATGTTCAACTGATGTTAAGATTCAGTTGATTACTTGATTAAGTAACCCCTGGCTTAGCAAAGTGTATGAATTCACTCTTTTCTATTTTGTACTAAGTGAAGGTCGTATTTTCCTTTGTATAATATTCACATTCTCATGCATAGGTTATTTCTGTCATGCCTTTTTCATATGCCTACTACATTTTTCATACATTTCTTGAGCATATACTTTTTTGTGATTTGGAACCACTTTCCAAAACTTTGGAAAAAAGCATTTTGGATGCTTTTTAAATGCTTATCTCTACAAACAGGTCTATGAAGAAGCAGCTGGTAACCTTCCCCATTAAGGCAGAATTTTATATGCAGCCTACGCTTTCTTTTTCTTTCTTTCTTTCTCTTTCTTTCCCTGCATTCCTGCAAGGGTTGCCATCACATCTAGTCTCTCCAATTCAGCCACATCATTTAATCACTGTGAAGGTGGCAAGGAGAAAATATGCTTCAGAAAGAATAGAAAGGTAGCAAAGAGGAGCTGCATTTGGAAAGCATCTGTTCCTTGCATTACTTCTCAACTTATCATCAAATTTAAAAATTAAATAGTGCAAGATCAACGCCTTACTTAAACATGAAATACGATTTCAGTGTATCATAATTACCATGATTAACATCTCCTGACAAATTAAAATCCGTATTATTGCCGACGCTAGTATACACTCTCAAAAAACTTGAGTAAAGGTTAATACTGGAAAGAAATATTGAAAATTAAGTACTCACATATTCCTTGACATTTTTTGTTTTTACAGCTTTGTAGGAATAATAAGCAGGATACAGCATTCCAAAGACCAACCTATATGTAAAGAAAAATATTTTAATTGAACAAACGCACACAGTAATCATGGAAGCTCACAATACATATTACATAAGGAAAAAATGAAAAGAAGTTCATATTCAGACAACTGTAATTTCAAACTATGTCTATTCTGATCACAGCTATTGAGCACTGCATTCTCTGGGCATCCCTCACGTGCTCATACATCAAAACCTGCCTTTTAAAAAAAACTGAAAGTTTGCACTAAGATTTCAGATCTTTTCACATCTATTATTTTGCAAGGAAAAAGATAAGAACTACTAGCTGGCTTGAATAAGTGCTATAAGGCTATGAAAGGCTTATATATTACAAAGGAGAAACCAAGTAGAAACAGAAATGATACCGTGTTTCCCCGAAAATAAGACCCTGTCTTATATTTTTTTGAACCCTGAAATAAGTGGTTGGCCTTATTTTCAGGGAGGTCTTATTATTTTGAGGCGCGTGGACCAAGATGGGGCTCTTCTTGCCGTTTTACCTGATTTCTAGCTCTGCGTTTAAATATTTTCAGGGAGGGCTTATTTTCGGGGGGGAGGCTTATTTTAGCACGTGTGCTCAAAGGCCCGATTGGGCTTATTATCAGGGGATGTCTTATTTTTGGGGAAACAGGGTATACTTCTGAACTAGTCGTAACTCAACTTTTTTTTTTTTTGACAAAACTGTTTCAAACAGATAATCTGTCATGTGTAATTGTTTGAGTGTACAATGACTACAAATTAGAGTAAAACATAAAGGTAGACAAGTTGCTTCATTTATCGTTTTCCATGTCTGGCAGAAAAATGGTACAATTCAGAGCAATATCTTTCCTCTTTTGGCACATGTCAGAGCAGGAGTGATGGAAGCTATCCTATTTTCCACAATTTTGTTCCTAATTACCCTAATCCTGATACTCCAAATGTAGCCCTTTTTAGTACCAGATGTTCGTTATGTAAAAAAGTACTTCAGAGTACATACAAATACTTTATCTAAACTATTGGATGTGCTGAATTAAAAAAACTGAGGTATTTCTAAAACGTTAACAGTACGGTAAAATACTACTCCAAAGAATGAAACGGGAAAACATTTATTTTTCAATGTAACCTTCCGAAACAAATCTGCTTTGGGATCCAAGGACAAGGTGTATAACAGTATGTGTTTAATTATTACTGGTATACTGGCTGGGTTCATATATTATGCTATGCCTTGATTTATTTCAAGCATGCTTTATTGAAAACGAAACCTAAAATGTATTATATTATGGCCTCATGCAATGTGCAAACCAGGCCATTAACTTGAGTATGCATTTTTATTGGTTGCTAAAAACTATTGTTGACCAGTTTCATTACATTATACACTGCTTTTTAATTAATATTCTTCTTACAAATTTATTTAGCTATTGTATAGGCATTTTGTTTCTTCTCCATATAAAAATGTTTTCTCCAAACTGGAGAAAATCTGACAAGGAATCTGAAAGTGTCAGTGGAGTAAAGGACCACATCTATGTCCTTTTAACTTACAGGTTGTATTTAATAATAAAGGAGAGAACCCACATATATTCATACCAACACCCAACAAACCTTTTGTTCCAAGGAACATTTGCCCCAGTTCAAAGAACGTGGATAGAAACTAGTTGTAGACACTAAATAGGATTTTAAAATCTTTTAGAAACAATGAGCCAGGAAAAATATTGGATCCTTACTGCAATCTGATAAATGTATGTATATGAGATGTGTCTTATGCCTCACTGGAGGCAAAACTTAGGGCTCAGAATTAAGGCATAATCAGTACTGACAACTGGTGGTTGTGTGATAAGATTAAACTAGATTTACAAACCTCCCTCAATCTCTGAAGAAGTGATTCCTATTGGGTTGTTTTTTCAACCAACCAACCAACCAACCAACCAACCAACCAACCAAGGAAGGAAGGAAGGAAGGAAAGAAGGAAGGAAGGAAGGAAGCTTGGAGGTTGTCTAATCCAACCCTCAGCCCAAGGCAGGAGTTCCATAAATTCCATAAGAAGTTATTCATAAGAAAAAGTATACCATTATTCTTTTTTAACAGCAAAATATATCCATCTGAACTGAAGAAGCTTCTCGGATGAGAAGCGAAACATCTTCAAGGAAAACAAAGAAAGTCCAGTTGCCTTTTGACAAAGTATTTTTGTGACAACTATGACCTGGATGACTGAGAATCTTCACAGACCTACCCAGCCGAAAATCTATTATAATTTTACCAGCATTTCAGGATTTTTAAAAGTTGCCGTCTTCCCAATAAGGCTTTTTGTTTTTCTAAACTTAAATAGCTAGCTTCTATTTAACAATTGGTTTCCATGGGAGCCGGTGAACTATGCTTTAAATCAGCAGATGGTTGTTTTCAATTCCAAACAGGAGTTGGCAGCAGCCCAACTCTTTCAAGTATTTCCTAAGGCTTCTATCTGTAGAAAAACAGGTTTGGAGCAAATGTATACAATAGTTTATTAAAGCTAGACTGCATGTAAAGTAATAAAGTCATAACCTATTTACATTAATCTCCAACATGTTCTGACACCAGGCCCTACCCACGTTAACCACCTAGAAGCCCAACTAAATTCTTCATTGCTTGTAAAAATACAGCAATATAACCTTTCCAAGAGAATAAAAAGGGTAACAAAAGCAGCAACATTGTGGTGGGTTTCACATTATGTTACTACCAGTTCGCCCCGCACACACACGCTTGCTTCATGCATGTGCGCGCCTGGTTTGCATGCATACCTGCCTTCCGCGCATGTGCCTGGCCTTCCGCACATGCGTTTTGCTTCCGTGCGCGTGCCTTCCGCACATGTGCCCGGCCTCAAAAACGTTCCTATATAGGATGGCATAGAGGCGGGGCAGGGGGGGCCGGCCCACCCGCGATTTCCGCTACTGGTTCAGGCAAACTGGCCCAAACCGGCTGAATACCATCTCTGAGCAACCTATTTTCTTAATTAAAGCCAAATACCAATTTTAAGCAGTTTCTTAAACTCCTCCATCAGGAAATGTCAAATTCTTGGTTGATACAATAACAAGATCAATTTTGTGACTTTCTCTACAAGCCAATCAAGACTCCATAAACTATTCTTTCTCCACCACATCTTAACTGGAAGCATTTATGGGGGTAAAGGGGGGAGGGAGGTTTGATAGTGATCATTTAATGTACTACCAATAAATTTTGTTCAATTTTCAATCTTGTAAAAATTTGCACTTTATGAATATTCAGCATGAATGCTTTGAGTATGACGGTACTCAATGAATCTGCCTTTACTGGATGCAGAGTTGAAGGTGACTTTGGAGATAATAATCATTGTGATAACTGATCAGATTATTGCGAGCTGAAGTCAGAGTTGGGTTCAAACGTCAGATCTGGTATTTGTCTTGGAGCAGAGGATATTACCATTATTATTTGTCAAATTACTCCCAAGTGGCCTTGGAATTTTTTGTAGCTACTCCCTGACAGAGGGAGAAAGAACCTGTTCAACTGGTTTGATCAGGTGCCTTATGGACCCTGCTGGGTTTCACAGGGAATTTGAGTGGGTCCTGAGGCTCTATAGTTCGTTGCTCAGAAGAAGTTTGCAGTGATAACCTTGGACAGATTCACACCTATATGTATTCTCCCTTACAAATCCCAGAAGGATTCCAAGAGACAAAGTGGCAGAAGACACATCTAGATCATCACTGGAGGAAAACAAAGAGCAAAATCAATCAAGCATGAATAAGAGCCTTCATTAAAAGATTACTTATGGCAATAAAAGCCACAAAACATAGGACCCCGGAGGAAACAGAGTACTTAGATCTTTTTCAGTCAGATTTCAAGATGAGAAATACATTGAGGTAATATTGACTGTACTTATTTATAAATTACATTTGGCAGCACTGAGATGGAAGTAGTGCACCTATTCTGGTCTTCCTTAATGTCTCGATTGATTTCAAAATCATGGTACCTTTAAAGGTTAGAAATGGAGCCATGTTGTTGCAATTGTTTTCCGCCTCCTTCTTCAGCCAACCCCAATCCCTTTTAAAAACCTCATTTGCATGATTTACTGTATGCCTTGATGAGTGACAGCAGCAGTCTCCAATCTTTCCACCTTGGCGGCCAGGCCTGGCCCAGCGCAAGGGGGGGGTGCGAGTGGCAGGTGCACGCATTTGTGTATAACGCCACTGGTGTGAGCAGTGCACTCGAGTGAATGGCGGGCACTGGCTCTGCTCATGTGACGCTCCACTTGTGCAAACAGATGGCGCTCGAGCGGAGACAAGTGCCCACCCCCCACTCAAGCAACCTCCGCTTGCGCCAGTGGAGCTTCATGCACGTGCTTGCTCATCACTCACGTGGCCCTGTTTCGAACAGGTCACAGCCAGTGGGCCGCAACCTGAGGACTGGGGAGCCCTGGTGTAAAGGAAGGAAGCAAGCAAAGAAAATATTTTTTCAGTTGAGGAGCTGAAGAAAAATTTGGCTCAAAAAGTTCAGCTGGCTGGAGCAACCTGGTCCTTAGAAACCTTTTTGCTCTTTGACTGCTTTCAGGATCTAGCTAGGACTCTTCTAGAGTCACCACTTGTTGTGTAATGGGCTGGGTCTTTTATGTTTGTAGGTCAGGGACTACCTGTATGTTATAGTCATAAAGAAATTTTTTATAAAATGATGTTATCATTGGTAATGTCAATGGAAAAATTGGTTACAACGTATACAAATTCTTGAAATGTAACCAACAATTTTACCATACTTACTGGATATTTAAAAGATTCTGAACATGTTGGACTAGATTTTGTACAATAATAGGGAAGATTTTGAAGATACATATACAATTGAAATCATAGACTTTTTTTTATAGTCAATGGGTAAGCAGCTGGAAAAAGTTATGGAACTCTTTTCATATATGACTGCAGCAAGACTATTATTACATGCATAAAGGTGAAAAGATTCTAGTTTATCCACAACGGAAAAAGGGAGGGTGAAGATGATGGAACTTGCTGAGATGGCCAAATTAACTGCTTT